AGGGAGGGGAGAGGAGCCAGGACGCAGCGTGCGAAGTAAAGGGGGAGGAGGTGGGGGGGGGAGAAGAGGCAGGTCAAGGGTGGGGGTTTGGGGGAAGGGGTGGAGTGGGCAGGCTGAGGGTTCAGCCCCCCGCCATTGGTACTTACAGAGTAGGGGAAGCTGCCCTGGAACCTAACCCCCCCTATTTATATTAATTCTTATGGGGAAATTGGATTTGCTTAACATTGTTTCACTTAAAGTCATATTTTTCAGGAACTACAACGTTAAGTGAGGTGTTACTGTATTTCCTTTCCATACAGATGAAATGTCCCCGCCAGCAAAGAGAGGGACAAAGTTTTTTGTAGCAAGATGTGACAAACCCTGATATTGCTCATTTTTCCTACCCAGAGCAGAATTTCCAATTAAAAAACTGGACATAATCTCCCTCATAGAACGAGAGGAAGAGCCTTGGGTTCATGATCTCCAGGGCTACGAGGAAAAGGAGATGCTGAGTGGCACCTGTGCAGGTGAGGAATAAGCTAAACTGTCTGGAGAACTGTCAGTGAGTTGAATGAAACTCTGGAATTTCCCCAGAAATGCTGTGAGCTTGCACCATTTTGTCCCACTATTGTAACCAATACTCATGTTCTCAAGACAGATATCTCCGAGGGCTTCCCAGTCATACTGATTGACTTCAGGTGAGAGTCTGTGACCTCACTTGTTTTTCCTCTGAGAGTTCAGAGGGAATGTGAAAGGAGAATAGGGCCTCTCCCTCTCTTTTGCGGAAGAATCTGCTCTCAGTTCATGATTTTAGGCCTGTTTGAAACCTGGAACCCTTCTTGTCCTGAAACCCTATTTCAAGCTAGACGGTGAGCGCTCTGGGACAGGAACTCTACTTATTAGTTGTTTGTACAGTGTCTAGGGCAATGGGACCCTGATCCTTGATTGTGTCTCCCAGGAGCTGCGGTCAACTTGATTTCATTTAATTGACTAAATTTTAAAAAATCAATTCTCTCTTTAAACAATATAACTTAATTTATAACATTTCCTATATATTTGTTAATGGTGCTTTTTCTGCTCGACTGTATTCAGAAGGTTCTTTTCAGTAGGCTTGAGAGCAGGACCACTCTTACTATCTTATGGGTTACCTGTAAAAACAGTAGGTACCATGTGTTCATATGGAAATAAGATATTCCCTTTTTGTTCCCTTTCCCAAGGTTTCCTTTCTCTCCACTGACTCATCTCTAGATTCTCATTTTATTCTAACAGGTGATGGGATTGTGAGTGAGAATGGGAAGGAGAATCTGCACCAGGACAGTCATGAGCCAATGGAACCACATGGCACATTACCAGGAGCATCCCAAAGGAATATTTCCCAGAGTCCTGAGCAGGATAAAGTCTGTGAGGGTCAGCACAGATCAGAAAGGCATCAAAGAACTCCTCCAGGGAAGAGACTAGGTCAATCAACTGCATGTGAAATAGGTTTTAGGAAACTACCAGACATTATCCAGCTGGGAAATCCCAAGATGGGGAAACCAATAATATGTGATGACTGTGGGAAAAGCTTCCGGCTGAGATCAAACCTCAGACAGCATCAAAGGATTCACACTGGAGAGAAACCCTTTGGATGTGCCGAGTGTGGGGAAAGTTTCCGGCAGCGCTCACATCTTATTCAGCATAAGACAAAGCACACGGGGGAGAGACCCTATGAATGTACCGAGTGTGGGAAAAGCTTCAGTATGAGCTCAAAACTCATTCGGCATCAGATAATCCACACAGGAGAAAAACCCTATAAATGTGGTGAGTGTGGCAAGAGCTTCATTGGGAACTCACAGCTTATCCTGCACCAGAGAGTCCACACGGGTGAGAGACCCTACAAATGTGGTGACTGTGGGAAGAGCTTCAGTGTGAGCTCAGCTCTTACTCAACATCAGAGAACGCACACTGGAGAGAAACCTTATGAATGTGCCGAGTGTGGGGAAAGCTTCCGGCAGCGCTCACACCTTATTCAGCATCAGAGAATCCATACGGGTGAGAGACCCTATGAGTGTTCCAAGTGTGGAAAGAGCTTCAGTGTGAGCTCTGCCCTCATTCAGCATCAGAGATTCCACACAGGGGAAAGACCTTATGAATGTGCTGAGTGTGGGAAAAGCTTCACAGTGAGCTCACACCTGATTCAGCACCGGAGAGTCCACACAGGGGAAAAGCCCTACGAATGTGCTGACTGTGGGAAAGGCTTCCTTTGGAGATCAGCCCTTCTTCGACATCAGAGAATCCACACAGGACAGAAACCCTATGAGTGTACCGAGTGTGGGGAAAGCTTCCGACAGAGCGCACACCTTATTCAGCATCAGAGAATCCACACTGGGGAGAGACCCTATGAATGTGCCAACTGTGGAAAGGGCTTCACTGTGAGCTCTGCCCTCATTCGACATCAGAGAATCCACATGGGAGGGAAACCCTAAAAATGGGCTGAAAGCTTCATGTCAGATATCCCTCCAGAGTCTCCCAAAAGATAGTAGCCAGGCATGTTTCTTGCTTTGAGTCCATAAGGCTCTTCTCTTTTCACAGAGAATGAAAAATGCCTTGTTGAGGATGGTCAAGTTAAACAAAGAGGAAATGTTGGTGCAGGGAGAAGGATCATGTAGGGACCTGAGGTGTGGAGAGGAATGTATGCTGGGAGCCAGAGCCAGAGACCGGGAGGTGCTGTGGGCAGCAGGAGGATTGAGCATTTGGAGATAAAAGGGAAGCTGTTGGTATAGTTGGAGAGAAGTCCCCCATGAGAACCAGGGCTGGAACTAACAAGGACTGTGCCAGGGGAAAGGACTGGGCCCAGTATCATTGGTGCCCATGTGGAAAAGCTGGAAGGGGTAGCGATCCAAGGGCTTGATGAGTCTTGGCAGTCTCTCCGTCATATCTCAGAGTAGCAGCCGTGTTAGTCTGTATCCGCAGATGTATCCGAAGAAGTGGGCTGTAGCCCACGAAAGCTTATGCTCTAATAAATTTGTTAGTCTCTAAGGTGCCACAAGTACTCCTGTTCTTTCTCCGTCATATCGTGAATCTTAGCTCCAGGCAAGCAGCACAGTTCTCAGTTTTCCTGGTCAGGATGGCAGATAAATGACTCAGTTCCCCTTAGGATCTTGGGATCTTGGTAGGATTTATCAAATGAAGATCTCAATCCCTTTTGTTTCAATGACTTTGAATTCCCAGATTTTTGGTTATCTGTTACAAATTTCAACTTTGCCAATGTAAGGGGGCAGACTCACCCTGCGGTGCCTCCGGCTGGTCTCTTCCAGGAATTAGCTCGATTTCCAGCCTGGAGCGCCCTCTGCAGGCTGGTGATCCACCTTGTCACTGGCCCCCATGTCCCTCCCAGGACCCCGGTGCCCCTTTCTCTGCGTGCTGCCCCTTGGCAGCACCCACACACACTGGGTCTCCCCTCCCAGGGGATCTCCCCACCCACTAACCCCACCTCGCCTCAGTGTAAGGCTACTGCCAGTCACTATCTAGCCCCACTCCCTGGGGCAGACTGCAGTATCAGCCACTC